CCCCCCCAGCCCCCAACACCTCTCCCTGAAGGTAGCAGCCAGGGGCAAAAGAGCACAGGTAGGAAACCATGGTGTGAAGGGTTTTAGGGAGGTCCCTGTGTGGTCCTGAGGCTGTAATTGTCACTGAAAGCGGGGTGGGGGGGGCATGTGAAACTCCACAGCCACTTCTAGAGAATCTGGCCGTCTAGTAGCTAGCTGTCTCAAACCCTCCATGTCCAGGTTGCTGGTGCAAAGACCCCAACTCATGGGCATCCTGGGTCAGAGCAGACTATGCTCCACGGGGTATGGACTGCCAGGCCTTTCTCTCGGGCACCACTGCATGGGCTTAAACCTCCTCCCCCACCCCCCCACCCCCCGCCCAGGTCGTTCCTGCTCAAAGGGCACACTGCTCCAAGGGTACAGCAGGGTCAGGAGGCTGGGGTCACCTTCTTCCCTCTCCGCTCCCTGCAGCCCCCGTGACCAGCCCTAAGGCACCGGCTCAGAGGCCTTCCCTCCTGCTCCCCCTGGAGATGGACCCAGGTCTCCACCACCTCCCTGTCCTGCTGATGATCTCTCCCTGCCGAGAACATCGCTGGGTCCCCAGCACCTGGAGCCAGGCCAGGCACACAGGAAGGGCTCAGCAGTGGCGATGGGCAAGCGGAACCCTGCCCTCACCTCCAGGATGCTGCAGGAGCAGACTCAAACTCCCCATGCAGGTCCACAAGGCCCAGCACGCCCACGTTCTCCTGACTCCCAGCCTGCGCTGTGGGAATGTCTCAGGGGAGGGCTCAGGGGCAGCAGGGTGGGAGGGGGGTAGAGGGCTGCTAGTTTTTACCTGACTGTAGGTCTGTCTGCCCCTCCGTCTCTGAAGCTGTCTCCTCATCTGGAGAAGGAGACGGGACTCTGGTAACTGCCAGGACGTCCTAGCAGACACAGACCGCTTCTATACCATGGCTGATACACGCTGATGCTCCGGGTCGGAAAACTGAACAGGGAAGGGGCATACAGTCACTGCACCAGAAAAAGCTAGCGCTCAAATCCCTTCAGGAGGGAGCAGATGATCGAGAACCAGTGGCAGTGCATCTGCAAGGACAAGCACCTGGACTAACAGTTTCTTGGGGTCAGGGCAGGGAGGTTGGAGGAAAGAGGGGAGTACAGGGAAGACGGACATGTTGTAAAATTTATTGTGGCGACCACTAAACAATTCTTTTAAATGTGTCTAAACCACTGAATTGTATGACATGTTAAAATAGAACAAAAGGAACCAATGGTACTTATAGAAAAAGTCCAAGTTGTGGCACGAGCGAGAAACAAGGCTGCAGGAAGCAACAGAGTTGTAATCAAAGTGTCCCAATGAATGGATCCACGGCTGGCAACACTCACTTGTCTGTGCTTACCTGGCCAACAGATTGGAAAACATTCGTACAGGTGTCTATGCTAAAGAAAGGCAATCCAATGGACATCAGTACAATCAAACACATGTAAAACTGTGCAGAAGACAATTCAGCAATCACGGCAACAGAACATCAACGGGCACTGCTGGGATGTCAGGCCAAATTCAGGAGGAAGTGGAATGCGGGTTATCAGTGCTTGGATCAGGTGGATCTTGGCTGAAAATCGAGAATATCAGTGTTATGGATCGAGTGGTGGTCCCCCAAAAATATGTGTTCTCAACCTCTATGCCCCTGGTCACAATCCCACTAGGGAACGTGTTGTCGTTGTGGTATTAAAGGATTAGTGTAGGGTACGTCTTAAACGCAATCTCTTTTGAGTCATGAGATTAAAGAAGCAGAGATGGGCACACCTCCAAATACACACGTGGTTCAGAGAGGGTATTTCTACCCATGTATTTACCTGTGCTGAAATACAGCACATAAAGCACACAGAAAACCAAGTCATGAAAGCGCCTCAGCCATGACCAGACACCTTGAGCTCTTGGGCCTGGGCCCAGAACAGGGTCAATGGGCATAAACAGCCCATGAAGGCAATGCTGCACTTCCTACTTTGGTGCATAGGAAGCCCCAGTGGGGTAGTGGCTACGTGTTAGGCTGCAATCTGCCTACTTCAGTGAATAGCCCCTGGGGTCTTCGGATACTGAGGACAGCCATCTACATGCACCTCTCAGTTTCTCCTCATTTAAAGCGGAAAAACAGTGTGGAACCAGAGACACATGGAAGTAATTAGTCCACAGGGTTAATGGGCCACAAAACCCAGCCTCCATGACACTGAGACCAGAAGATGTAGATGGTGCCCAGCTTCCACGGTTGACCACTGTGAAGGGGAACACCATAGGGGGTCCCAGATGGAAGAGGAGGGAAATGGGCAATGATGCTTAGACAGTAAAAGACCAGGCCTTTAGTCTGGAACTAAACTCATCCCATGACTCAATTTCCAGCCAAATGAGAGGCCTATAAAGTGAGCAACACCATCAAGGAGGTAAGGACTCATTAGAGCAATCAACAATATAAGGAGGATTCATTAGAGCAATCAACCACAGATCACACAGATCAAAAGGGCAGGCTCTGCCCAGGGACAGAGCTTAGAAGGCGGGGGGTGGGGGTGGGATGGGGTGGGGTGGGGACACCAGAAAAGAGTCACAGAGGCACCCTGGAAGGGGGCTGTGCCACCAACGGGCGGAACGTTCACTGCAAACCCACATGTTCGCTACACTGACACCCAGGTCACACGGTGTGAAGAGGGGGTGGGGGTGGGGGAGACAAGGAAGGAGAGGGAAGACAGAGGCCAGGCTGCATGCAGATCTCCGAGGAACCAGGAAACAAGCTGAAGGGACAAGGAGCATCCTCGAGAGCCGATAGAGCGCGTGAGGGTCTTCGCCCAGAGCCAGAGCCCTGGACTCCGACTTCCACCCCAGAGGCCCTGAGCAGATCCGTGTGTGTGTGTGTGTGTGTGTGTGTGTGTGTGTGACAGGCATCTGTGGTATGGTCTAATTACCGAGACCTTACCACCTCTGCAAAGGCATTTGTGACAAATCGCAGATAACATTCCAATGAATGGGGATTCCAGAGCACTTAGTCATGCGCACAAGGAAGCTAGGTGTGTGACCCACAGGATAACACTGGGAAAGGCATCCAGCAGGGCTGTATCCAGTCACCACAGCTACTCAGACTGAGGCTGAGCAAACGATCCGAGACACTGGACTCTGAAGAAACCGTGCCGCCAGGACTGGACAAAGACTCGTTAACCTGAGACACGCAGCTGACACAACCGCGCGTGCTGACAATGAAGGGGACTGGGAGCACCGGGCGGTGAAGTCCCTGGGGCGGCAGCCTTCAGTGCAGACTCCACCTGAATATAGAAAAATCAAACATCCTCAGCGGGGGACGCATAAAATAAATAACACCCCCGCTGCCTGCCAGTTGATCCCGACTCATCATCAGAAGAACCCCAGGGGAAAAAAAAAAGAAGAACCCCAGGGAGGGTGAGGGCTCATTAGCACAATCAGCATATTACAGTGGCCCGATGAACGGTCAGCGCAGAAGTGCCCACAGGGTCTCCAAGGCTGTCCTACTGGTGGAAGACTGCTGTGTTTGTCCTCTACTGTGGAACAGCTGATGGGGTCCAACCACTGACCTTGTGTGTGTGTGTGTGTGTGTGTTTGGGGGCGCGGGGGGCTTGCAGGTAAGTGCTAAACCACAGTGCCACCAGGGCTCCTAAGACCACAATAAGGGAGAAAATATTCAAGTGGTGAAGGCTTTTGTTGTTGTTTAACTTGGCTACACAATCAACACCCATGGAAACAGTTACATAATCAAACTCTACCTATCACATGAAGAATATCTGCAAAGACCTCTTTAAAATGTTAAAAACAAACAAACAACCGAAACACCCCACAAAAGATGTCACTCTGAAGACGGAGGTGTGCCTGATGCATGCCACGGTAGTTCCACTGCCTCGCACACATGTAAGAGCTGACGATGACGACGAGGGAAGGACGGACGGATGCCTCTGGTGAAGGACGCTGCACACACATCTTGGCTGGCCGGCCGGCAGGCCAGGAGAACAAGCCAACCGTGTGGGAAGGAGGATGGCCAGAAGGCTCCTCAGAAGCAGGGATGGCAAGGCCTTGTCTCACGACGTTGGACACATCACCTAAAGGAACCCGTTCCGGGAGGGCACGTGCTTGGCAGAGCGGAGGAGGGTCAGGGACAGAGGAAGGCGCTCAGTGACCCAGTGGCTCTGACAGTGGGCGCCAACACAGCAACGACTGTGAGGCTGGCACAGCACTGGGGGCAGTTTTGTTCGTAAGGAACAGACCAGACCTGATAGCACCCAAGAAGCTCTAGTTTTGCACTAGGCTGCTAATCACAAAGTTAGCAGTTCGAAACCGTGAGCCGCTCCATGAGAGAAAGATGAGGTTTTCTACTTCCGTAAAGACGTACGGTCTCGGAAACCCACAGGGGCTGTTCTACTCTGTCCTACAGGACCCCGTCCTGTAGGGTCCCTGGGAGTCGAACGTGACTGCAAGGCAGCGAGTTTGACTGGATTGGAACCATCCCAGGCCCTCTTCTTAACCAGAGACTCAGGAATCAGGCCCCCTGCAGATGTCCATTTACAACCCTGTCAGGCGGGGATTATGGTCATCCTCAGGACACAGGTGATAAGAGGAGCTCACAGGTTAAGGAACCTGCTTGTCTTGGTTACGGGGTAAGGCCCCAGGGAGGGTGGCATTTGAGCCCTGCACTCCTTGTCACTTCTGTGCAGTTCTGTACAGAGGCTGGCGAGCAGGACCCCTGAGAAAAGTCCTATGATGCTCTCATCCCGCCCACTGACTGGGCTCTGGCCCAGCACCAGCCACACCCGAGAGAGCTTCTCCTAGATTGACTCATTGAAGCCTCACAGCTAAAGAGCTGCCCTTCGGAGCCCACTGGACAGAGGTGAGTACTGTCACACAAGCTCAGACCCCCAGACCAGCACATAACCCCCCGCCCACACACGTACCACTCTGCCTCTCACCCAGGCCCCCAGCCCTGTGCCCGCTCTTAAAAGGTCTCTCCGGCTGTCTCCTGCCTGCTCCCAGCACAGTCCTGGCCAGGGCTACAGGGGGGGCTGGCCCCGTCCTGCCTAGCCCCACCAAGGGGCATTTCACCCTGGCTGCCAGTGGAGGCGCTCGCCTCAGGGGACACGCCAAGGGTGCAGTTGGCGGAGCCCAGGGCAGAAGCTTCAAGGTAGAGAGACCCACTGAGGGTCTGGTCAGCACAGGGGTAGTCCGACCTGGGTTCAAACTCCAACAGAGCACCCGTGGGTCGGAGAGACTCAGAGCCTCCACTTCTGACTCGGCCAATGCACCGAGGGCAACCCACTGGCCGGGCAGACTCTCACAGAGAGCCGCCACCATGGCGGTTACTCGTTAACAAGAGGCATGCTTTGAGGTGAAGCCAGGCCGGGGGTCACAGCCCAGCACACCCCGCCCCAGCTTCCCTGGCCAGTGGCTTCACTTCAAAGGGATGGTCTCCTCTCCATGCCACAGACCAGGCTCCGAAGGTCCTGTCAGAGGTGGGCTGGGCTCTGCCGTGTCTCCGTGGCTGGCTATGTGTGAGTGGGTTGGCCAGGCCTTCCTTCCAAGGAGCTTCCGAGTCGTCTTGAACCACGGTTGTTCGGTTAGCAGCTGAGGGTGATGCCCTTGGGGTCACTGTACCTAACCCATGCTGTGTCTTAGGGTCGCCTCTACAGCTCTTCCCGAAGCAACCGGAGGTGATCTCCTAAAACGGTCTGCTACTCACTTGACCCAGAAAACCCCACAAAATCACGCAAACCCAGAGGGTCAAATCTCTGGTGTCCAGAGATCTGATAGTCCAGGGAGCCGCCCAGGTCTCAAGGGGATGCACATCCAGAAATAAGTGAAATATGTCCCTTTGCAGAAGCAGTGTGAGCCATTCTAAAGTGACAGTGGTGTAGGGGGTAGGTGTGGCCAGGCCCAACAGGTGACCAAAGCCCCCTGATGTGCCACCAGACGTGCAGGGCTCATGGTTGACCTCCCTCACTCACACTGGCATGACCTTTCCTGAAAAGGAACAAACTGTCCCTAAACTAGAAGAGGGTGCACGGAAGAAAAGACCGTCCCTGAAGAAACTAAAGACACGAACATTTTATGGCTCGGAAGGAAATGAAGCTTAAAATAAAAGCTAATAAAAACGTTAACATCGGGGACACTTATTCTTATTCAGTTTCTTCTCAAAGTGAAGATAACTCCTTGTAAATGTCCTAGAGAAATATAGTAGCTTTCTATTCACTCTTAGCAAGTAAAAAGGGTGGAACCTTCCACTACTAACACCAAAAAAAAAAAAAAAGGTAAAATCATGTCTGCAAAGAGTCTGTCGTGTGTAGTTCTGGATGGATGCTCACAGCGTTGGCTAGTCACGAGCTGTGGAAATACCTGGTTTCACAGTGCCTGTTTCCCCTGCTGAAACGAAGATCATGACAACAGTGCCCACCTTTCTTGGGTGTGACGTGTTCCAACAGTGTGTGTGGCACACCAAGTGGGCTCAATAGATGCCAGCCGAGGTTTTCACAAGACTGCTTTGATGGCTGCTGTCAATGCCACCAAACGCACCCTGGAAAAGCCGGGAGGAGGCGGAAACAGAGGCATGGAGCCCCAAACTACGTGCCATGGAGTCCGTGCCGACTCACAGCAACCCGACTAGGCAGAGAAGAACTACTCCTTAGGGCTGCTGAGACTGTAAATCTTTATTGAAACAATCCGTCTCATCTTTAGCCCTCGGAGCGACTGGTGGTGTCGAACTGCTGACTTTGCAGTTTGGAGCCCAACACCGAGGAGGCCCTCAGAGCCACCCCAGCCTCACAGTTCTCTCCAAGAGTCGCCACCCAAGGAGGCCAGTGAGCTTGGAAGCTGTTGCTGGGGCTCAGAAGCAACCACATGCGTGCCCCTTCGCTGCCTGACCCCATCACCAGTTCTCCGGGAACTCCTGACCAGGGGGGCAAAGGTTACTCAGCAAGCCAAGGGCAAAAGCTGGCCCAGGAGCAGGGTGGTGGCCACAGCTCACGGAGAAACCCTATCAGTGGAGGTTCACTCTATCCCAAGCCCTGCCAAGTGGCCTTCCTCCCAGAGCCAGGGCTGGACCAGGGGCAGCAGCCCTGCCCCCAAGTCTCCTGGGCCTATGAAGAGAGGAACAGCTGGGAAAACGGCTAGCGGGAGGGCCAACTGTTTTCTCCTGGTGGGAACCATGAACCCGACGGGCTGCCTGGGAGCCTCCGAGGGCCGGCCGAGGGCTTGGCTCAGGGTGGCAGGCTCTGCAGTGGTCTGGGTCCATGCCGCACCCCTTCACACACATCACCGATGTGAGCCAGGCAGGCTCTGAATAGGGTGCTTCTCTGGTCAGGGAGGAGTAAAACGCAATCCACCAGGCCTAGTGAGCCTCCAACCCCTCTCCTAAGGACAGGAAGACCCCCAAGGCTCAAGACATCCCCTAACACCCTCCCAAGATGTAACAAGTCCGTCCAGACGCAGAGCTCCTCAAATCCAGGCCTTCCCCGGCCTAACAGGGTGCAGCACCAAGACAAAAGTGCAGCAAAGCTCTGACAGGGGCTTCTGCAGCTTCCCAGGAAGGAAAGAACTTGCCAAAAGGGGTGTCTCTGGGACCCCAAAATGCAGTGACATCAGCTGAGGGCTCTGGGGTGAATACGAGGCAACATTAGGGTTCGAAGCACCCCAGGATCCATCTCACTTCCATAACGGGGTGAGCCTCCCCAACAACTCAGCCCTCTCCCCAAACCTCCCCCACCCCAAGAAAATGACACCGGGCATTACAACCGGCCCCCACCCAACATCTCAATGATAACACCACAGGCCCTGGGCGCTAGAGAACGCCCCCCCCTCCAGCGCCCCGGTGGTATAACCCACACGGCA